AAAGCTATATGGTAGATCTGCAGTTAAAAAAAAAAATCCTGCATAATGGAGGAACTGCCATGCAGTACAATTTTATAAATTATGTGTTATTGTAGCCTGTAGTTTTAACATGATACAGACATCACATAATTATCCTATAAAGGTAGATTAATTTTATTGCTACATTGACTTGACAGTTGCAGGAATATGATGGCTCTCAAGAAGATAAAATTGTGTTTACAACTTAAAAAGTCTTTGGTGGTTTTGGAGAAAGCTTGCTTTGAGGATTTACTTGTTTTAGAAAAAGGCATTTGATCTATTTCCAACATTATGTTTTTGTATTACTGGCATTTCTTTTAAAGTAATTCAGTGTATTATTAAGATGAACTCAAAATTCCCTTTTCCTAAGTAGAAAGTTACCTATTTTACTGACTTTTAAAAATTAGATATGTAAGATTACATTGCATTTAACAACATCAACTGTCCATTACAAATAGCAGTGAAGGAGAACATTGATGCAGGAGATACGAAACCTTTTCATACTTACTTTTGGAAGACACATGTTGTATAGCAAATACACCTTTCTGGTGGGGTCTACTGTATTAAATTTGACTTTTATTCATTTTACTGACAGCAGGAGATTGGTAACCTAAAATCATGGTACTTGAAGAGAGTTTTCAACTTGTCATTAACGTTTTCCTTTTTCTGTGTAGAATCTACAGGTAAGAATTGACTGTTAGAACAAAAAGATGATTAAGCACTTCATAAATACAGGGTTATGTGAAAGTGGTTCATAATTATAATGTGAGTATGTTCCAGATTCTGTTAATGACCACCCCAACATCATATAGTATAGCCATTTTAATATGATGATGTTACGTGAACCTGTTATACAACTACTTTATAATTTTACTGAGAGTGATGTGTGTTGAAGTGATAATTAAAACATGCCTTGTGTGTGTGTGTGTGTGTGTGTGTGTGTGTGTGTGTGTGTATGTTTCTGTCCCTATGTCATCTTTATCAGTGTGAAACATGACTTCCTCTATATACATGTTCAAATTATTTGTTCCCTAAATGGATCTGATAAATCCTTGGAAAAAGAATGAGAACTTTGAGAAGTAATGTGTGTTGGTTTGTCAAGTGGATCTGGTAAACCCCTGGAAAAAGAATGAGAATTTTGAGAGATAATGTATATTTGATTCCTTTCTGAAATGGAACATAGTCTTTCTCTGGCTCTTTTTATGACTGGTTCTGTGACTATATAACAGGTTTTTTACATTGTCTGAGCGCATGAGAAAATCTCTACAGAGAATGGTGGTGGGCTGGTATGAAAGGGGCTATGTTTTAGCCCAGTGTGTTAAACCGTGGCCTGAATACAACTTATTAGTGTTTAATGGCTAAGGGTCATTTCAGATTTTAGCCTCTATGGCATTACACTGCCAATTAATGGACACTGAGTTCATCAATTTATTCAGTGCCTATTGATTGAAGGCCAGCTTCGTGCCCAGTACAGTGTTAGGTTCTGAGGATGCAAAGATAAATAAGATAATCCCTGCCCTCAAGGGCTCAGAGTCAATGAGGAATAAATAAACAAGATGTTATAATACATAATGATAAGTACAATAATGGAGGTTTGGAATATGTTCCCTTTGAGCAAAGAGAAGGGCCTTGTCTTAGATCTGCTGCATTGCAGATAAATGACTTGTCTGTTTACTCTTAGAGATGCAGAAAGGTCAGAGTTACCTGGAATTACTCATAGCTGCTGCTGCTGCTTTTTTTTTTTTTTTTTCCCCTTTTCCAACTTGATATAGGGCAGTAGGAGCCCAAGTAAGTACCAATGTTTATGACTTACTTGTGGGTGGTCCCACAACATCTAGAAGATTTAGATGGAACTGACAAAACTTTCTTTCTATATACCTGTGTTTTGCTGTTTAACAATCATTTAGAATATCTTTCTGTGCTGTGTGTGTTCCATTTTCCCTTTCAGACCTTTTCTCCACTCTGCTCTGTGGCTCTGGGAAATGACTTCTATGGGCTACATCAACTGAGCCCTTCCTTTTTGGTTTCAGGTTAGCTTTGCCCAGTGGGAGAGACATCAGAAGGGATCTCCCTAAGAGCTGGTTCCCTCTTGCTGGATTTATTGTTGCTAAAGCTGTTCTGTGAGTAGTTCACAACTCGTATTCAGTAATGGCCCTCTCTGACAGCCATCTATAGTTACAGATCTTTCTGGATTCTGATAACCCTTCCCTACCCACTTTAGACGTGGAGACAATAATGGCTTCCTGATGTTGCTAACCTAGAGGTACCCCACCATCTCTTGCTGTTTTCCCTAAACCCTACCTGTACCTTTTGAAATGTTCCTTCATTAAATTTTCTTGAATGCTTCATTTGAGTATGCTGTTTTTCTTGCCAGGATCCTACTGATAATGCTCATTTATATCTAAAACAGATTTGAGGTAGCTGCCCGTTCTGCATTAGAAACCAATTACAGTTGTCCTTAATGGCAAATGCAGACAGGAGCCCATGGGCTGCCATGCTGGCTTTCTTGGGAGGGAGAGGGCTATGGTTTCCTCAGCATGCTCCAAATGTGGTGTCATCATTATGTCAAATCAAAGTCAATGGGTTTAGAGTAAAATCTAGCAGCAAAAGCATTTGCCACCAATGCTAGGTGGTTGTTGGGTCCCTGTTGCTTGTTTTACCCCTTAAGGATACGTCTAAGGAGCAGTCCCTTTGTTAAGCCTCAATCTGGGTCCCTTCCTTAAAGGGGGAAAAAGCAAGTATTTTGGGAAGATTCTCACTTGCTAATAGTCCCCAGCATTTTGTGCCTTCCCTTTTCTCCTAACATTTATTTTTGTTCATTCACTCATATTCAGTACACATTTGTTAACTATATCATAGGTGCCAGACAGTGTGTTAAGCACTGAAGATAAAAATAAGTAAACAAGACATAGGACCTGTCGTGACCACTTGCTGTTTCTTCTCTTTAAAATTCTGTTAGACTTCTAAACTTCTTTTGCTTCTGATGAAAGTTTGTGGGTTTTGTTTCTCTGTTTTTTTCTCTATTATTCTAGCCACAGAGAGAGGGAAGGAATCTCAAAAAATGAACAAAAATTTGTCAAACTGGCATATTCTTGGGTCAGTCTAGAATCGTGTTACAAGGCTTTTTCTTTCTTTAATTGGGTAGTTTGGAACAAAAGCAGAGGCCTGGAGAAAATTGCTACTATTTGGCTCTAGTTGGTTTTATTCAGTTGAGTTTTAACTTAAATTTACCTTACTTGAAATAGAGTATAGAAATGTTCAGAAAACTTTCCCCTTATAGATTTTATGAAATGTAAATTCTTCTTTTATATTCACTTTGAATTACATCCTTTGGAAACTCAAGAATGTGCTATGGATCTTTGTTAATCTCTTTCTCGTTTAGTCGTTTTGGCTCTACCAAACTTTCTGATGTGTTACTTAGTTTGGGGAATCATTCTGATTCTTTTGGTTAAGAAATTGAAGTTAAAATTGGCAATGTATGCCATATTTTTTTTAAAAAGAAGTTGGCGGCAAAAGTCACTAAACTCCCAGATATTGAGTGAACTGATGAACGTTTCAGTTTTTATGGAAAAAAATTTGGAATGTTAATTATCTACTTCCTCCTAATTTAGGTGCCTTAATTCAACATTTGAAATGAAAATGTACAGTCTGTACAATCAGCTAATTAGGAAGTTACAGAGATATCAGCTAATTAGGAAGTTACAGAGATACTGCCTTGTCTCTTTTCTTCTTTTCAAAAAAAGCGTTTGCTATCCAGAGATCATGAATGGTGGCTACAAGTAGCATTCTTATCTTTCTATCCTTTTTTCTTCTTTTACCTTCCTTTTTATTGTCACTCTTCCCTCCCCACCCTACTTCCCTTCCTTCTGCTCATCTTCCTTTAATCTTCTTGCTGTTTAGGTTTAATGTGCAAATGGTTCAGGCAGGTTACTTTTTGCTCAACCGAAGCTAGTCTAAAATTGGGGGCCAGGTGTGGTGGCTCATGCCTGTAGTCCCATGACTTTGGAGGCTGAGGTGAGAGGATCTCTTGAGCCCCCTGGAGTTTGAGACCAGTCTGGGCAACATAGTGAGACCCCGTCTCTAATTTTTTAAACAAATAAAAATGATAAAATTGGGATTGACTTATTCTTTATAAACTATGAAAAACTAGTTATGTTTTTCTTTAAAATGTTAGGCAGCATAGTCTGGTAATGGACTATGGATTCAAATTTTAGCTTCTCCCTTCAGCTGTGTGACCTTGGGTAAGTTTCCTCTTTGTGCCTCTGTTCTTTAGCTATATAATGAAAGTACCTATGGTTATCTTAAATTAGTCAATATGTAAAGTGCCTTACACTTAATATACACTATGTATGTTTGTTAAGTAAAATAATCCTCTATAATCCTACCACCTGTAACATAATAATTATATTAGTAGAAATAACATCAATTAGTTTTGTATTAGGGACAAAAACACAAACTTTAAAATGTTTCTCATGAGTACTCATGGAATGCTTTTGATACTTAATGTTTTATTAGTTGTGTGAAAGCCACATACATGATTTCTAAGTAGTGGTAACTCCAGCCATGGTGAAAATTGATCTGTATAGGTCTGTGGTAGTGTGTAATTAAACAGATGGAAAAACTGTTATTTTATACAGTGATAAGTCCTGAATTTCAGCTTACCCCAGAAAGTGGAGTTAGCTACACTCTAGTCACCTTTTTATTGCTGAAGTCTTGGGGATGATTACTCCACTTATAAAAAAGTAGAGTTAATATTTCTAAAGCTTTTTTTTTTTGCGACAGAGTTTTGCTTTTATTGTCCAGGCTGGAGGGCAATGGCGTGGTCTCAGCTCACTGTAACCTTTGCCTCCCAGGTTCAAGCGATTTTCCTGCCTTAGCCTCCTAAGTAGCTGGGCTAATTTTTGTATTTTTAGTAGAGACGGGGTTTCACCCTGTTGACCAGGCTGGTCTGAAACTCAACCTTAGGTAATTCACCGGTCTTGGCCTCCCAAAGTGCTGGGATTACAGGCGTGAGCCACTGTGTCCAGCCCAATATTCCTAAAACTTATAAATGACCTTAATTGTACATCCTCATTTGTATAAATTCTATTATTTGAATTGCTCTTTGCAATTAAACAGGCAGCAAGGAAAAACTGTTGTGTAATACCTCTCTATATCCTCTCTCTCTCTAAACCAAGCTTGTCCAACCCATAGCCCACAGGCTGCATGCAGCCTAGGATGGCTTTGAATAGGGCCCAACACAAATTCATAAACTTTCTTAAAACATTATGAGATATTTTTTTGCAATGTTTTTAAAGCTTATCAGCTTTCGTTAGTGTTAGTGTGTTTTGTGTGTGGCCCAAGACAATTATTATTCTAGTGTGCTTCAGAGAAGCCAAAAGATTGGACTAAACTCTGCATCTAAACTCTGTTTTTCAAACATTTTGACATATGTTAAACTGAAATTGTTTTTAATGTTGTGTGAGCACAGTGTTGTTAAGTCTTTGACATTGCATCATGTTTTTGTTTATTAAGCACACATTATTTGCTTTAATACAATGCTAGAAGCTGGAAATACCAGTGTAAAAAAAGATAATACCTCCATACCAGTGATATAAGACAATTACAGGTGTTTGTAAAAGCTATGACAGAATTAAAGCAAGATTATAAGAAAGTTAGACATTTGGGGACTGCAATCTCAATGAAGGCTCTCTGAAGAGGGAATATTTGAATTGAGAGATATTGGACTTGAGATTTAAGGAACAAAATGAGTTGGCCATGGAGGAGCTGGGAAAAAATTCCAAGCATAGGGAGGAGCAGGTGTTGAGGGCAAAAGGAGAAAAAGGCATTTTGTCACAGAAAAGAGGCCATTGTGGCTGGAATATGGTATGTATCAATGGTATTTTTAATAGTGAATTTTGTACTTTTTTTTTTTTTTTTTGAGGTGAAGTCTCGCACTTCACCCAAGCTGGAGTGAGGTGGCGCGATATCGGCTCACTGCAGCCTTGCAAAATCCCACTTCCTGGGTTCAAGCAATTCTCAACCTCAGCCTCCTGAGTAGCTGGGATTATGGGTGCCTACTACCATGCCCGGCTAATTTTTGTATTTTTAGTAGAGACGGGGTTTCACCATCTTGGCCAGGCTGGTCTTGAACTCCTGACCTTGTGATCCACCCGCCTCGGCCTCCCAAAATGCTGGGATTACAGGTGTGAGCCACTGCACCCAGCCTGTAACTTTTATTTCTAAATGTCAGAATGGATAAAAATAATAACTGACATTTATGTAGTGCTCTCTAGGTTTGTGCAGCCTGTGCAGTCTTTCAACAACTCTCTCCGGAGCTTGGTCATCTGCATTCTGTAGATGATGGAAGTGAGGCCTGGGGAAATTGGGAAACTCACCCAAGGCAACCCAGCTAACAATGGTATAGTCAGGAATTAGGAAATGCATTTTTGAGGATTATAACTTTTGAATGCAGATTAACTAGTCTGTATTTTGGAAAGGTTGTAATAAATGGAGAGAGTGAAGTAGGGATGGCTAATGAGTACAAAAAATAGGTAGAATGAGTAAGATCTAGTATTTGATAGCGCAGCAGAGTGATGATAGTCAATAATAATTTAACTGTACATTTAAAAATAACTAAGTATAATTGAATTGTTTGTAATACAAAGAATAAATGCTTGAGGTGATGTATACCCCATTTACCTGATGTAATGATTATAAATTGTATGCCTCTATCAAAATATCCCATGTACCCCATATATATAATTTACGATGTACCTGCAAAAATTCAAAGTAAAAAAAAAATGGAGAAGGTGAGAAAGGCAAGATTGTGGGAATTCATTGGCTATAAAAACAATGATTATTTTTGGTGGCTTAAATATTTTATAATTATCTTAGTTTTATGTTTAACTATTATGATGTAGTTTCAGAGTCAGTTTCTGCTTACCATCTTGAGTGTGTCTGCTGTCTAAAAGAGGCACTTTAAAGTCGGGTGCAGTGGCTTATACCTGTAATCCCAGCACATTGGGAGGCTGAGGCAGGAGGATTGTTTGAGGTCAAAAGTTGCAGGTTGCAGTGAGCTGTGATTGTACCACTGCACTTCAGCCTGGGCAACAGAGCGAGACCATGTATCTATAAAAACAAAAAGAAGAGGCACTTTAATATTCCACATCTCAGATTTTCAATAACTATTAAGCATTAGCAATGAGGTTATATCATGCTGGAGGATGTAACTAATTTCCCCTATTCAGTAATATGCTCATAGACTTTCTTCAGATAGCATTGTTGTTATAGGCATTCCTTTCAGGTTTTCACAGGAAAGGAATACCTTTATCTTCCCCTGTATTTCAAATGAATCATGTGTATGAAGTTCAGAGTTACCAAATAGAATGCATTGGTAATGCATTCTAGCAGATGTAGTTAGAACCTCGTGATTTAGTCCTCAGTTGTCACTACTTGGAAATGTCTCCTGAGTCTTTTTCAGGGTGGGGTGTCCAGGAAAATGACGTATAGGAAATGTGTAGCGGATGAGCCCTTCAGTTAATTGGCAGCTTGTTAAACCAGGTTTTGCTTTGCCTTTTGGTTCATTTGTGTCAGTAGTAGGAGAGATGGGTTTGCTGTTTGGTGCTAGAGAGGTAAATGAGAAGAGAAGAAAGCATTATTTATTGACTGCCTAACATATGCCTCTGGTAAATGTTTCACATGAACTCATGTAATCATCACAAAACTCTGAGGTACACAGTATTAGTCTCATTTTATGCCCTACTTATCACTGGAGATACCAAAAATAGATATCCATTTTTCGATCAAGGGAAAAATATAACCCATGGATTTTTAATAGCTTATTACTTATGGTAGTAGACAGACTCATAGGAAATAATGATAAAACTGTATGATGTTATCAAGTGCCTGTTAGCACTGAAATTACTAAGAATGAGTGAGACAGGGTCACCATCCTCAAGAGGTACACAAAGCCTTGGAAGGTGAGATATGCAGGTATTTTAATCAAGTCTTTTTTTTTTTTTTTTGGAGATAGGGTCTTACTCTCTTGCCCAGGTTGAGTGCAGTGGCATGATCACAGCTCACAGTAGCCTTGACCTACCAGATGCAAGTGATTTACCCACCTTAGACTCCACGAGTATCTGGGACTGCAGGTGTGTACCACCATGCCTGGCTAAATTTTTTTTTTTTTTTTTTTTTTTTTTTTGAGACAGAGTCTTGCTCTGTCACCCAGGCTGGAGTACAGTGGTGCAATCTTGGCTCACTGCATCCTCTGCCTCCTGGGTTCAAGCGATCCTCCTGCCTCAGCCTCCCTAGTAGCTGGGATTATAGGTGTACGCCACCATGCCTGGCTAATTTTTTTATTTTTAGTAGAGACAGGGTTTCACCATGTTGGCCAGGCTGGTCTCAAACTCCTGAACTCAAGTGATTTGCCCACCTTGGCTTCCCAGGTGCTGAGATTACAGGAGTGAGCCACTGTGCCCAGCCCCAGTTAATTTTTGATTTTCTGTAGAGACGAGGTCTCACTTTGTTGCCCAGGTTGGTCTGGATCTCCTGGACTCAAGTGACTCAAGTGAACTCCTGGACTTCCAAAGTGCTGTGGTTACAGGTGTGAACCATTGTACTCCTCCTAAAGTCGATCTTTATTTCAAAACAATTTCTCCTGAAACCATTGCTGTTGCTAGACAGCAGAGATAATGTAAACTTTTGGGCACGTTATTTTTGGCTACTGCTAAATTCTGAAATAATTCCTGTAGATAGTTCACAAGGATATGAATCTATCCACATTAATAGGTGAAAACACTCTAACATGGGTGCTTAGGAAGTGTGTGGCACGTGATAGCCATTCAAATACTTGTTATATGAATGTGTAGGAAATATACTTGAGTCAGCCATTCTTCCAGGGTTTAAAGTCTAGCTCCATCTGTTACTAATTTGTGTGACGTTGGACAGGTCACCTCAACTCTTTATGAGTTTCCTCATCTAATGAGGAAAGAGGTGATGCTAATAGTGCCTTCCTCATGGTGCAATAAAATTAAATGAGATAATGCATGAGATAATGTAGGTGAAGTGTTTGGCGGAGTCCTGGCCTGCAGTAGGCACTCAAATGTTTTTGCTGTTGTTGTTATTAAGCTAATAAACCAATTTGGTACCACGGACACAGTCTGCTATTTAAATGTGATTTCATGTGTTGGTGACTTTTTTTTTTTTTTTTTTTTTGAGATGGAGTCTCACTCTGTTGTCCAGGCTGGAGTGCAGTGGCACGATCTCGGCTTACCACAACCTCTGCCTCCCGGGATTCTCCTGCCTCAACCTCCTGAGTAGCTGGGACTACAGGCATGCACCATCATGCCCGGCTAATTTTTGTATTTTTAGTAGCGATGGGGTTTCACTATGTTGGCCAGGCTGGTCTCAAACTCCTGACCTTGTGATCTACCTGCTTCGTCCTACCAAAGTGCTGGGATTACAGGCGTGAGCCCCTGCACCTGGCCGACTTTTTTGTTGTTGTTTAATTTGTCCTAGCTGCAGTTTAAACAGCATTGAAGTCAAAACCTGGTTTGTATTTCAGTTCCTAGTACTCAGATCATGGTGGGAAAGGTTTTAATTACTTCTAACTTATTTCTTTCTGGAATCAGATACCTCAGGTCTTCTGATTGTGCTTCTAGGTGAACAGTATTCCCACAGCTTATAGGCAAGGAACCTAAATGCAGTTCATGGTTGGAGAGAACAGCAAACTAGAAATCAAATAAATAAAGAATTGTGTGAGGTGAGAGCATGGTTTGAATAGTAATAACTTCTCTTAGTCCTCAGCTTCTAAAACATGAAGATTTCATTTCTTGACTAGAAATTTGTCAAGAGCTAACTTAAAGTACAGGCTGAATGAGCTAAACATTGCCACTTCTCATCATAATTTATCCTTTATTCTTTCTATAGGGTTTAAGAAGATGTATGTAATGATTACAGCCATTTATAGTGTTCCAGGATTGTCGTAATTTTAGGTAACTGTCTTCTTCAGAAAGGTAGCTTGTTAAATAGATGACTAAATGTAATTAAAATTCATACTTTTATACTTTTTTTTTTTAGATGGAATTTCACTCTTGTCTAGGTTGGGGTGCAATGGTGTGATCTCGGCTCACTGCAACCTCTGGCTCCCTGGTTTAAGTAATACTCCTGCCTCAGCCTCCTGAGTAGCTGAGATTACAGGTGCCCGCCAGCACACCCAGCTAATTTTTTGTATTTTTAGTAGAGATGGGGTTTCACCATGTTAGCCAGGCTGGTCTTGAACTCTTGACTTCAGGTGATCCACCCACCTTGGCCTCCCAAAGTGCTGGGATTACAGGTGTGAGCCACCGTGCCAGGCTATTTTTTTCTTAAAATTTTTTAAAAAACAAACTTTTAAGAGAACATCTTGATTTGATCTGGAAAAGATCACTAGCATAGTTATGCACTGTAGCAGAGGGAAGTGACATTTGTTGTATTTTATTATTTTTCAAAGGGCATGAATAAGAGAAAGGAGTTTTAAATGTGCTCCTTTCCAACTATTGTCTCTGTCTAACCCAGTAGCCACTTGGAGAAAAGGTTTCTTAAATTGTGATGTTATCAAAACTTGTTAGGCAGGTTATGGATAATGCTCAACTTTATGACTAGTGTGCATATCTATATTAAAATTTACCTTATGTCCCACAGTATGAATGAAATTCTCAGTGTTGCCATTGAATGTAGTCTAATTATTAACCAAATCTGAAAACCAGTAATTACCCCCTGTGAAGTTAAGTTTTTTTTCATGGATTTCCCCCCTGCCTTCCTTAGGATTTGACAGTGTAGATAATTTTTTAGTGAGTGGCAATGAGTTTGAACCCTTTATTTAAAGAGTTCAAAGTGTAATCATAGTAGTAAAAACAGTTGGTTTGAAAGTCAGATTCTGGTCTTGCCTCCTCTATTCTCTGTGATCTCATGGACAAGATCCCATGGCTGCTTCATTTACTGATACATAAATTATAATGAGAATAATGTGTTCCTTGTTTATCTCTCAGGATCATAGTGGTAAATGAACCTCACTTTTAAGGAGAGTCATCTTGCAGCAGTTGACAACAGTGGACTCAGGGTAGGAAGACAAAGAGCACATGGCGTATAAGGGGCTATTTTGAGCCACTGCAGTGGACTTATGGGAGATCAGTTATAAAGTTAGCCTGGATAAGAATGGGGTGAGTGCTACTGTCAGCAGAAAATAGGAAAAAGTTGAAGACCGAAGTATTTAGAAAGTGGTAATATAGGAAAATGAGCCCTGACACAAAGTAGTATAGGCCTCCTGCCTGGCTTTGGTTACATATGTTTCTTCTCATAAGAAAGGAGACAAAGATGAGAGTAGGAAAAGGAAAATTATAAAATGAGAAAAGGCCAGACATGGTTCATGCCTGTAATCCCAGCACTTTGGGAGACTGAGGCAAGCAGATCACCTGAGGTCAGGAGTTCGAGACCAGCCTGACTAACATGGTGAAACCCTGTCTCTACTAAAAATACAAAGTTAGCTGGGCATGGTGGTGCATGCCTGTAATCCCAGCTACTCGGGAGGCTGAGGCAGGAGAATTGCTTGAACCTGGGAGGTGGAGGTTATGGTGAGTAGAGATAGTGCCACTGCACTCCAGCCTGGGCAACTACAGGGAAACAATGTCAAAAAAAGAAAAAAAAAAAGAAAGAAAAGAAAAAAGTAAATATTGCCAGTAGGTCTGTTTTTGCGTTTTAAGAGCACCTTGGAAGAGAATGAGGCTTTTTTGAGAGGAAAGAGGATTCATCATGAGGACATGCTTTAGAAGGTCAGAGACTGCAGTACAATAAAGAGATCATGATAGAGATTTTAAGTTAGATTAAGTCTAGAATCACATTGATAGTGATTTACATTGCTTGAAGTAGGGAATTTGCTCTTTAGGTTGGTCAGTTAATTAGGTCCGTATTCAAGATTTGCTAGAAAAAAGAGCAACTCACTTGAAGAACTTGTGGTGGTAGCTCTTATTTCATATCCTCATATGTTTCATTATTAAGAATGAAATATTGGGCCTAGCGTTGTAACTCACACCTGTATTCCCATCACTTTGGGAGGCAGAGGTGGGCAGGTCGCTTGAGCCCAGGAGTTCAAGACCAGCATGGGCAACATGGCAAAACCTTGTTTCTACCCAAAAAACAAAACAAATTAACTGGGCTTGGTGGTGCGGACCTATAGTCCCAGCTAACTTGGGGGTTTGAGGTGGATCACCTGCACCTGCAAAGGTTGAGGCTGCAATGAGTTGTGATTGCGCCACTGCACTCTAGCCTGGATGACAGAGTGAGACAGGGTCTTGAAAAAAGTAAAAAAAATAAATATTTGATTTGGAAGATAGTGTAATTTGGTCGAATATTTTGTAAATTAAAGTTGTTGTAAAAGCAGAGAAGTTTGAAATTTTGAACTGTCAAATCAAATAGAACTGTAGCAGAAGTGTTATAGTTGATATAAGAGTAGCCATAATCATGTTTTAGTGAATTATCTGACTTATAGTGAATTATAAGAGATAGACATATTAATACTTTCTGCAATAAAGAATGTAAATGAGTACTATTTGAGTGGGCTACCATTATATTTATGTAAGCTATAATTACCCAAAGAACAGAGGAACAGAGTGTTGTACCATTTTAAAGAGCTTAGAATGCTAGAATGATTCTTACCTTGCAATTCAACAGAAGATTTTGTATTAAGATATGAAACAAATTTCCATTTATTTTTACTATTATATAGATATTTTGCAGAATTCTTTTGTGTTCATGGGATGCATAAAGTTTGACTATGGACACTGCAAACATACAGGTCTGAGTTTGAATCTCAGTTCTGTCACCAATTGCTTGGGTAACTTACCTGAGTTCACAATTTCAGTTTCTTTATCTGAAAAGGGCTGTGTCTTCATTTGTATGTTCTCCTTGGCATGTGGCCCACTGACCGTTACACAGTAGACATTTGTTTACTCCACAAATATCTGTTGCTCATATACTGTGTGCCAAGCACTGTTTTAGGTAATAGAGATACAACCAATCATACAAATAAATATTAAAAATGAACCAATAAGTATTGTAAAGGAGAAGTATGGGTGTTGTGATAGTTTATAATAAGGGGTCTAAAAAAAGGAGAATTGGGTAGCTTTTAAAAATGGTTACTTTGGGGGCAGGGTAGAATCATAGATTAGAGCTAAGAAATAATGGATATAGAGAGATCAGTTAGGAAGCTGCTTTAACAGTCCAAGTGAGGCAGGTAGTGAGACTAAAGAGGTGGTGGTGACTGATGGTGGAAATGGAGAAAAGTAGATACATTTCAGCGGTATTTGGGAAGTAAAGGATACCTGTCTTGGTGACATGTTGAAGGTGGAGCGTAGGAGAGAGAGAAATGTCAAGAATAATTCTGAAGCTTCTGGCTTGTATAATTGAACATATGTTGGTTCCTGCCAATTACTGAGCTGGAGAGTACTAGATAAGAACCTGGTTTGATAGGAAGGGGGGTGGGGAGGAGATAGTTTGGTTTGGGTCATGTAATGTTTAAGATGCTTTTGAAATATTTAACTGGAAGTATCAAGTTCTCATTTGGATAAGTGGTTCTAGGGCTCAGAGGAATGGTCAGACTTTTGAGAATCATTAGCATATTTGTGGTAATAGAAGCCATGAGAATTGATGAAATTTCAGGAAAAAGGTATGATGTGAAAAGGGAAGAAGATGTAGTACTGAGCTTTGACAAACACTGACATTTCAGATTGGCTGGAGGAAATAAAGACCACCAAGACTGAGAAGCAATGCCTTAAAAACCAGGAGAGTGTTTCTGGAATCCAAGTGGAGAGAGTGGTAATGATTTACATTCTTCTGAAGGGTCAAGCAAGATAAAGACTGGAGAGTGTCCACTGGGTTTAGTTACACAGAGACCATTTATAACCTTATGTAAAGCCATTTCAGTAGTGAGTTGGAAGCTGAAAGAAATGGAAGTACCTGGGTATAGATTATTCTTTGAGAAAGTTGAATTGAGAAAGAAGGGAGAATGTGGTAGCTTAAGGAAGAAGACACTCAAATATTGGCTGAGTGAATACATGTGCAACATGAACCTCCTTTAGAAAATAACAAGCACAGGCTAACAGGATCATCTCTGAGAAGGATGGGAGGAAGATCTGTTAGGGATATCAGTTGAAACATGAATCGTCTGGGGATCAGTTTTTCATGGTTTCTTATGATGTGCCAGATGGGGGAATAATAATCTTTCAAGAAGGAGAAATGTCATTTTTAGAACAATGGTATAGGAATAATTGACTGCCCTTACAGAACCCTAATTGCTGAGAATTTGATACATTGTTTTTCAGCTATCACCAACAGTTGGAAAGAGTCTGGGATTTGGAGCCTGATATTCAAAATTTCATAATCCTGCTTTGCTATTTCCTTGTGTTAGGTTGCACAGTTGATTGTTTAGTCCTAAAGAGCTTCAGTTTCTTCATTTGAGCGAATACTGTCTACTTCACTGATTTGTTAAGACAATATGAGAATCTATGTAAATAAAGTAGCAGGTAGTTAGTAGGCACTCAGTAAGCTGATGTCTACCTATCCTCTTTTCTTTCTTCTTATGGTAACAGTTGTTAATTGTGTAGTTTCAGCATTGTAAGTTTGCTCTTAGCCTCAAAGGAATAATTTGTAGGAATCCTTCCTTCTTTGGTTTATCTTCTGTGTAAAATAACTTGAATGATACAAGCATATGTTTTTGGGGAAATGGAAATATGATTTGCTACTGTAATAATCATAACATAAGTATTTTGACAGACTTTTTTGGCATGTATGCCTTATATTTGTGTGCCTTTAAAAAAAAGTGTGTGTGTTTTAAACAAAGCTTACTAATTTAGATATGCCAATTTGGTAACTTCCTGCCAAAGTAAGAGTTTTTATGTTTTCCTTCTGAGACACACCTTAGTATGACTTTATTTTAGTTTCTGGACCCTTGCCATTTGACATAACTTCAAACTAGACATGATGGACCCACATAAATTCTTTTAAGATTTAAAATTTTTTTATGGTGGGAGGATATGAACTTTCAAAAGCAGTTAGGTGTCAGGTCTGGATTTTATTTGGTTGTTTAATTTTTGTTTTGTTTTGTTTTGAGACAAGGTCTTCCTCACTCTGTTTTCCAGGCTGGAGTACAGTGGTGTGATCACAGCTCACTGCAGCCTTGACCTCCAGGGCTCAATTGATCCTCCCACCTCAGCCTCCTGAGTAGCTGGGATTACAGGTGCATGCCACCACACCTGGATAATTTTTGTACTTTTTTTTTTTGTAAAGATGGGGTTTTGTTATGTTGTCTAGGCGAGTGTTACACTCCTGGGCTCAAGTGATCTGCCTGCCTTGGCTTACCACGCCTATAATCCCAAAGTGCTGGGATTATAGGCATGAGCCATTGTCCCTGGCTATTTAAAATTTTGTTTGTATTTTTAATTCTCAAATTTTTTTTCTACACATATTTTAAACACTGAGATAACTAATTTTATACTAAAATGATTGAAATGAAGTCAGTCTGATTTCTGTAAGTTTGATTGCTAAAGCAGTCTCCTTAAAGGTGTTAAAATGTGCTCTCAGTCACCACCCTACACAACCTCTGTCTCCCAGGCTGGAGTCCAGTGGCCCAAACATGGCTCACTGCAGGCTTGACCTCCTATGCTCAAGCAATCCTCACATCTCAGCCTCCTGAGTAGCTGGAACCACAGATATGCACTGCCACGCTTGGCTAATTTTTAAAATTTTTGTAGAGTCCTGGTCTCACTGTGTTATCCAGGCTGGGCTCAGGAGATACTCTCACCTCTGCCTCCCAAAGTGCTAGGATTACAGGCATTAGCCACCACTCCTAGCCTGTGTATGAATCTTTACAGAAATTGATTACCCTATTTTTATAAGAGCATTAAGATTTGCCAGCTTTATTCAAGAGTTAATATAGGCCGGACACAGTGGCTCATGCCTGTAATCCCAGCACTTTGGGAGGCTGAGGCAGGCGGATCACCTGAGGTCAGGAGTTTGAAACCAGCCTGGCTAACATGGTAAAATCCTGTCTCTATTAAAAATGAAAAATAAAACATTAGCTGGGTGTGGTGGTGCCCACCAGTAGTCCTCGGCTATTTGGGAGGCTGAGACAGGAGAATCGCTTGAACCCTGAAGGCAGAGGTTGCAGTGAGCTGAGATTGTCCTACTGTACTCCAGCATGGGCCACAGAGTGAGACTCTGTCTTAAAAAAAAAAAAATTCAATATAGTAGTAAATATATACTTGTTATTCTTTGGAATATGGGCCTTACTATGGAAAAGGAGAAATTATTTCTTTCCCACTTACTAATAAGGGAGACTTCATTGGTTAAGGGAATTTTGTGGGTGGAATTGCTAAGACTGGAAATCTCATTGTTGGTTCAAAGAGAGAAGAAACTTAACCATGTGTTCTCACCTGAATATAGGATGCTTTGTTTTACAAGCTTAAATAATATCTGGACAAAACTCTGCAGGTCACAAGTTCTTTAAAAACTAAATAAACTCTATAGAAACTGTGCTTCAAAGGGGAGCCTTCTCCTTGATTCACTATCCTGCCTTGTCTTCTGAAATTTACTGGTTTTTGACAAGCCTTTGAAGAAAGACCACTAAAATACAGCGTTGTTAATATTTGATGAGGTGTTCTTGTACATCTGTTACAAATTTTCCAAGTTAAAAATTACTTTTCTATTAGAGGAGCTCCCCATACCTTGTTTCTTTCCCCAAAGGTGTGTGTGTGTGTGTGTGTGTGTGTGTGTGTGTGTGTGTGTGTGTGTGTGTGTGTGTAGTTTATAATTTATTTTACTCTTGACTTTGGAAACATATTTCATTGTATAGATTTGGCACAATCCACTTTTTAACTCCAATTTTTAGATATTTGAATGTTCGATGGTATGGAATACTGTTATTAATAAGTTCTATGTTAGATTTTTTCTCTTTTTTTCTTCTTTTTTTGAGAGCCTCACTCTGTTGCCCAGGCTGGAGTGTGGTAGCATGATCTCACCTCACTGCAACCTCTACCT